GTGGAGAGGAAGCAGGCTCCCTGCTGAGCAGAGAGCCTGAAGTGGGGCTTGATCCCAGGACCCTAAAATCATGATTTGAGCCAAAGGCAGAGGCTTAACCCACTGAGGCACCCAGGCACCCCTGTAGACTTCATTTTTTAAAGATTTTATTTATTTTAATAAATAAATGGGTGGAGATGCAGAGGGAGAGGGAGAGAATCTCAAGCTGACTGCACGAGGATGGAGTCCAATGCTGAGCTCAGTCTCATGATGCCGGAGATCATGACCTGAGCCAAATTCAAGAGTCAGATTCTTAGCCAACTGAGCCACCCATGTGCACCTGTACTTTACACTTTTTTAAAAGGGGTAAGTGAGTTCACTGAGTGTGTTCACATGCTGGGCACGGGAGTCATGTGTTTTATGCCCCGGTGGCACTTTTTTTTAAAGATTTTATTTATTTATTTGACAGAGATCACAAGTAGGTAGAGAGGCAGGCAGAGAGAGAGGAAGGGAAGCAGGCTCCCTGCTGAGCAGAGAGCCTGATTTGGGGCTTGATCCCAGGACCCTGGAATCATGACCTGAGCCCAAGGCAGAGGCTTTAACCCACTGAGCCACCCAGGTGCCCCTGGACTTTACACTTTAAATGGGAAAAATTTTTGGTACATAAGTGATATCTCAATATTGCCATTAAAAACACTGGTGGGAATGGTTCTAGCAGCCTGTGTCCCAAGTAAGATGGGTCTTCTCTTATTATAGGGGAGGGGGAAAAGAGCAGTTCAAACAGCTCAGGCAGAAACTCTATCAGGTGCAACAGCAGAGAAAAGGACCAGGTTCTGCTGCTTCAAGATTTTCCAGATTATCTGAACAAGAGGACTTGGTATTTATTTATAGAAAGAACTGTTTCCTGACTCTAATGGAGAGTGCCAGGATTTCAGGAGCTCAGGTGCCCAGATAGAAGTAACTAACAATTCTCTTCAAAAGTATTGCTAAAACCAAATTTTGTTTTTATGCTTCGAATACCTCACTTAGAGTTAAATTTAAGCCAATGGGGGGAAAGGTCACTTACAAAATGGAGATGTGAGAAATGGCCCAGCCTCCCAGAGAGGATTTACTTGAAACATTACCAGTAAAAACCAAGTAACAGTTTTGGTTGGAATCTCCCAGGAGAAAGGACATAAAGACATTTTAGCTTACAACACTTTGTTCCCTTCATCTCCTTCCTACCTCAAGTCCTGCTGCCACTCCCAGTCTCACTGATAAACAACAGGGCTTCTCAGTCCCTAGGTATTCACCTGTCCCCCAGCTCAGTCTTTAGTCCCCTGGCTACATGCTGTACTTTTTCACCACCCGAAATGGTTTTTCCTAAGAAATAATAATTTCAGATCTCTCTCTCTCTCTGAGAATACAATCTATGCCTTTAATCCTCTCATTCTGCTACTCCTATCACTTTGACTTCATTAGGACCTCCACTGCATGATACTGCTACTATATCTCAAACCCCTAGTGTTCTAATTTCTCCCCTATTCAGCTAATTCCCTGGTCTACTCCTCATGCCCATATTCTGCATTCCCTTGTTCAGTTTTCCTTCACTGAAACCACCCACTGAAACTCCATTCCAGATGAATGTAATTGTTTCCTTCCACTTCTGTTATGTCACCGATGTTGCACTCTATAAGGCAAAACTTAGAAATCGTCAACACTGTTTTGACAGTGTTTATCACATCAAAACTTAATTGGACTTTAAGACCAATAAATTGTTCTGTATTTTCCTAATCAGCTTTCTCTTCTGTTCTCTGTAACAACTACTTCAAACCTAGTTATCTTACTTTCAATTTCCCACCCTTCAGCAGATGAATTTGGGTAATAGCTTGCTGAGAAAATAGAATCTATCAAATGGAATTTCTCTCAATTTTCCATCCCCAAATCCACATCCTGAATAGCGTGTGTACTTATAATGACCTATGCTGAGGTCACTTTACCCAAGTCCAATCTCTTCATTTATTTTCCAGGTCTCTAGAGGCTTCGCATTGAATTAATCCTCTCTTTGGTATCTCACTTTTCTTCCTCTCTGTTGAATACTACAAATCAGCGTTTTAATTAAGTTCAAATTTCCCTAGGCTTAAAAAAAAAAACCATTGAGTCTCAATTTCCCTGCAGATACCATCAGTTTCTTTTCTTTTCCAGCTAAATTTGAAAGGATTGTCAATTTTACTTCCTTACACCTCTTGCTTTTCAACCAAGTGCAATCTGATTTTCACTGTGACCACTCAAACTATTATGGTAAAGGTGACTGAAGTTTTCTGGAAAAGTCAGATAAGGTTATATTGCCCAACAAAGCAGTGTAACTACCCAGTGGCTTGTAAAAGTATGTTATCCCCTTCTAACAGTTCAAGTGTAAATGACTGGGTAGATGAGCCAGCTTTGCTCATTACAATCCTACCAGAACCAAATTTTGTTATAAGTAATTGCTCCTACATTCCCTACTGCAGTGTCATAACCTGCGTGACTATAGCTACCTCACTGCCGTATCCAGGTTCTAGTTGGCAGGGAGGGAGGAAACCCACCCAGATGTCTTCTATTCTAGACCTAGGAATGGCAAACAAAAATTCTGTTCACAATATTAGTGAGAACTTAATTCAATTGGCCATACCTAACTACAAAGGAGACTGGGACAGGCATTCTACGAGTAGTCATGTGCCTGCATACTATTATATAGTAGTGCTCTTTCTATAAAGGAACAGATTTTGGCAGATATCTATTAGAGCCCCCCACAATGACCAACTTAATCCAATGGACCATTTTAACATTCATTTTCAAGGTGGTAGTTTCGAAAGCATTTGCTACCATTGAGGTGCTTCCTCACCTCCTTGAAATGATATTTGCTTTTGGTTTCATGATTCTGACCAAAGCCCTTCTTTATCTTTTTTTTCCTTCTTTATCTTTTTAAAGATACTTTATTTCCTCTCTTCTCTAATGAAGGCGTTTTTTTCAGAGTTCAATGCTGAGCCTCTTCAACTGTTACCTGACATATTTTGCTTCATTGGTTTACGAGTTTGCAGGGTTTCAATCATCATATTTAAGGCTGATGAAACCCAAAGTCCATTTCTACCCCAGTTTGTATGCTATGCTTCAGTTATATATGTACCTATATACAACACTACATAAGCACATACATGTGTGAACACATATACATATACCCCAAAGGCACTTACCTCAATATTAGCATATCCAAAATTGACTTCATCTTTTTTCACTTCAATCTTTTCTGTTCCTCAGTGTTCCTTGTCTTAGAGAATGACACGACTATCCATCTAGTTGTCCAATCCAGAGGTCTGTTAATCATCCTCGCATCTTTCTTCTTTTTCTCCCCATGCAACCCACCAGTCACCAGATCCCAAGTATCTTTCTAATTAATCATCCCTCTTCTCTCCATCCACACCAGCAATACCCTTAACTGGGCTGCCATTATCTCCTAACTGGTGCCTCTGATTCCAGTCATTCCTTCTGAAGTTGATTCTCTGCACTTCTTCTAAACTGATTTTTTTAAAAATGCAGATGTAATCATTTAATCAAATGTTTAAAATCCTACATTGTATTTTAGTTGCCCACAAAATAAACATTTTAATTTGTGATACAAGTGGTTCTTCTAGATATTTCTTTTTTTTTAGATTTTTCTGTATTACTCTTTGCTTATGCATACATTGTGAAATACTTCAATTACTTGTCTTCCAAATTTTTAGCCAGTGAACTCCATAAAGGCAAGGATTAAATCTATCTTATCTATTCCATATTATTAACATGTGTAAAAATGTGTAAGTATTTAAAAATACATGTATTTCAAAATATGTAAGTGAAAAAAGTAATGACATTACTAACTATAATTGAATTCAAAAGTATTTACAAGAGTGAAGGAGAGCATATATTTGAAAATCTCAAGAAATGCCTTAAGGGCACTTGGGTGGCTCAGTCAGTTAAGTGGTTAAGTGTCTACCTTTGGCGCAGGTCATGATCCCTGGGTCAGGCCACCCAACCCTACCTCAGCTCTCTGCTCAGTGGTGAGTCTGCTTCTCCCTCTCCTTCTTTGATCTCTCTCCCAAATAAATAAATAAATAAAAATCTTTTTTAAAAAGTTAATTAAAAAAGAAATGTTCTAAAAATATTATTTTTAAAAGTGTTTATTTACTTATTTGACAGAGAGAGACACAGTGAGAGAGGGAGCACAAGTGGGGGAAGTGGGAGAGGGAGAAGAGGGCTGCCCACTGAGCAGGGAGCCCAACGCGGTGCTTGATCCCAGGACTCTGGGATCATGACCTGAGCTGAAGGCAGCCACTTAAGGACTGAGCCACCCAGGTGCCACTAAAAAATATTAATTCTTCAGTTCAGGACATACTTCTTCCGTTCAGGATGTCTGTCCCCCCCCCCCCCAAAAAAAAACTCTTCGGTTCAGGACATCTTTAATAGAGTCCTGTCAGCATTCAAAACAGCACTAATTACATGCTCTGTATAGACCTTGTTTGGGTCCTGATTCAAACAAACAAACAGTAAAAATATTTTAGAGAAAAATGAAGAAAACCAAATACAGACTGGGTCTAAGTTCTATCAAGGAATTATTGCTAACTTTGTTGATTGTAATAGTGGTATCATTATATCTTAAAGTCTTTCTCTATTAGAGATACTTGGTGAAGTATTTAGAGGTAAAGATATATGATGTCTGAGATTTGCTTTAAAATATTCCAGCTGTATTCATGAATTATTTGTTCAAAGAGAAAATTTTTACTGAAAAAATTTCATAGAAACACATGGTGGCGCTGTAGGATAAGATGAAATTAGTGCATGGAAGACACTGTGGGCTTCTTTATTCTGGGGAACAGAGACCAATCCAAGTCACTGAAAAGAGAGGTAGTACAGGAGTTTCATCTACTACAGCTGCTGAGTGCTATATACCTTCCAGGGGGGTTCTTATTTTTTTTAAATTGAGCTTCAACTTCCAAAATTAGGGCTGAAAGATTTTTCTGCAAAAGAAGTTGCTGGAAGGAGCCATGGAGATCAAAGGGGAGCTCGCTCTGCGGAAAAGGCAAGTCCTGATTCTTTTTGTTTTGCTGGGATTATCTGAGGCAGGTCCTGAATCTGTGCGATATTCTGTGGCAGAGGAAACAGAAGTTGGTTCTTTTGTGGCCAATCTTGCAAGGGATCTAGGGCTTGGGGTAGAGGAGCTATCATCACGGGAGGCCCGGGTAGTGTCAGATGATAACGAAAAGCACTTACAACTTGATTTACGGACGGGGGATTTGCTCCTAAATGAGAAAATGGACCGAGAAGAGCTCTGTGGCTCCACCGAGCCCTGTGTGCTGCATTTTCAGATGGTATTAGAAAACCCTTTACAGTTCTTTCGGGCTGAACTGCAAGTCACAGACATAAATGATCACTCCCCTATGTTTCTAGACAAGCAAATACTTATTAAAATATCAGAAAGTACCAGCATTGGAACCACATTCCTAATGGAGAGTGCCCAAGATTTGGATGTAGGAACCAACAGTCTTCAAAACTACACAATTAGCCCCAATTCTCATTTCTACATTAAAATCCAAGACAGCGGTGATGGAAAGTTATACCCAGAACTGGTCCTGGACAGAGCATTAGATCATGAGGAGGAGTCTGAGCTTTCATTAACACTCACAGCACTGGATGGTGGATCGCCACCCAGGTCTGGGACAACTTTTGTTCTCATCAAGGTCCTGGACATCAATGACAATGCCCCTCAGTTTGCTCAGAAGCTCTATGAAGTGCAAATTCTGGAGAACACACCCATTGGTTCCTGGATTATCACCATTTTTGCTAACGATTTGGATACAGGAAATTATGGGAAAATATCATACACATTTTTGCATGCATCAGAAGATATTCGTAAAACATTTGAAATCAATCCAATATCCGGGGAAATTCATTTGAGATCATGCCTGGATTTTGAAGTGATACAGTTCTACACTATACGTATTCAGGCAACAGATGGTGGGGGTCTTTCAGAAGAATGTACTCTTCTGGTTAAAATAATAGATATAAATGATAATCCACCAGAAGTGACCATCTCATCATTTACAAAGTCAATTCCAGAAAATGCCTCAGAGACTCTGGTTGCTCTTTTTAGTGTCCGAGACCAAGACTCTGGGGAAAACGGGAGGATGGTGTGCTCCATTCAGGATGACCTCCCCTTTTATCTGAAACCAACCTTCAAGAACTTTTTCACTCTAGTTTCGGAAAAAGCACTGGACAGAGAGACAAGATCCGAGTACAACATCACCATCACCGTCACCGACTTGGGAACCTCCAGGCTGAAAACCCAGCACAACCTAACGGTGACGGTGTCCGACGTC